TCTAACCTCCAAACCGCCTAACGGTTTAACCGTCCAACCGCCGTACACGCACGTCGGCGTTCGCTAGTCCAAACCCTAACTCGGGCCGAACCCTAATCACAGTACTTCGGCTGACTATAATCACCGAATCTTAACAATGTTCACTGGCTCACCCGACTTCATCTTGAGAGAACGCAGCTCTTGCCTGAGTTGCATCTTCGTTGTATTGGTTTTGCTCTTGTAGGTCTTCTCAAGGAGATCCCACGCCTCCTTTGCGGTTTTGCACTCCTCAATCGACCCCAAATGATGGTCCTCAACGTTTAGCCCGATGATGGACAACGCTTTGTTTGATTGAGCCGGATGCGCTACGGGATCCTCAACCCCGTTCCATAAGTCCTTGGAAGTCAGAAAAAACTTAATATTCGAAATCCACGTCATATAGTTCTCCACATCCAACTTATCAATGTGGACCTTACATCCGTCGGCCATTTTCAGGATTGCGTTCCCTTTCCTCTTTCTCAAAACCAAAGGTGAATTTCCTTTCCGGACTTTCCTCGCCACTTGACTCCCCTTACGAACTTACGAATGTCGCTTTGCTTGAAGAGCATCCACGATAAAGCAGACCGCCCCTGCCGATGCCTCCATTGACCGAAGAGAACCATTGCCCGACCTCGGCGCAAAGATTCAACAATCGCCTTCCTGGAGGCCTACTATTAAATGCTTGCGCCTTCACTCCTCAGGCGCCGTGGTGCGCCGTCCGTGCGCCGTGGGCCCATAACCTGTTCGGCTTTGTTGGAAATGAATGATCGAATGATCAGGTTCACACAATACATATCGAGTGTTTGGAGTCTAGCGGCGCTAAAGCCCTGCAGTCTGTGTGAAATGCTAGACTCACTCATGTAGAGTCACACTCCTAGTCTAGGAGGTCTACACTGATAGCCTAGTAGGCTCAGTTGACCGCGGATAAGCAAGTCCGAAGATCTCGCGCAAATCTGAATATCTACGGCTCTTCGAACCTACTCATTACGGCGGTTATCTTAATAAGTCATTCGGGTGTAACGCTGTAACCCGCGCGCATTTAATCGCCAACCGCTAACTACCGGTTATCGTCGAACTCCCGTCGACGTCACCCAAGAGATCGCGCACACTAAATGCCCGAATCTCAACAGAAGTGAGAAAAGGGACCGAGCATTTGCGCTGCAAGCAGAATAGGAAAAAACAAGAGAGGCCGCAAACAAAGAGAGGCAGAAGGGGACGATCTTGGGGCAGGAAGCGTTTGAACCTTCTATTCAAAGAATCTCAAAGGAGCCGAGGAGAGGGTGCGAGTGTTTGATCGGGAAAAGGACGCAGCTTGCTTAGCTGGCTGAAATTCAAGCAAGAAAAGCTACAGGCTTTGGGGTAGAATTAGCAGAATAAAGGGCTTGGAGCATGTGCGTAAAAGGTCGGAGCTCGAAATTAGAAAGAGGAAGGGGGGACCAAATGCGGATTTTGTCAACGGAGTTTGGAAAATTGTTAGGGACAAGGGAGAAGGGAGTCGCAGGGCTCATCAAGGAAAGAGATCGGGAACGGGGCGAAGAAGTGTTGAAAAGTAGTGCGGAAGAAGCAGCGCAGCGGCCTCAAAACCAACAAAAAGGTTCTAAAAGCAGACAGGCCGGTATGCCCGAGGGAGCCGGGCACATATCGACTGAAGGTGACACCCAAAGAAACTAAGGAGCCGAAAGCAAAGAAAATGCGATTTGAAGAGGGGGTAAAGCCGCCCGCGGCCAGCAATAACCAAGGGAAGTTTGACAAGCCAGGGATCTTGAGAAAAGCGCCTAGTAGGATTTAGGGTAGCTCTAAAACAAATGAGACTAAAAAGAGAACGCTGTAAGTACAGAATGCGGATTCTAATACAAATCTTGGCTGTTTTTCTCTTTTCAAGTTTCGAAATTTTCATTATGGCACTAAGAGGTAATGGCTTGATGCATTCCGGAAATGGCATAATCTTGGTGGAACATTGCCCATATTCTGGTCACTGCAAGCCTTAGGAATGGTTACGTATGTTTTAGAACGTGGCTGTATTTAAAGCATGGAGGATGCCACATATTTATATATGGCATTTGTACTGATGCGAGGAGCCGCAGATCAGTGGCTGGAGTCAATTGATAATTTTAATGAATTGTCATTGAACGGGTTTGAGAAGGAACTCATATCTAAGTTCTCCAAGACGACCATGAGTAATGTTGTTAATCATCTGTAAGCAGTAGTAAAAGAAGACCGAGACCTAGATGGGGAAATTACCGAGCTATGCATGTCGAAATAGAGGGCATGGGGTCAAAGGACTGTTCAAATTTTACGCCGTAACAGATCAGTCACAACTAAACCGAGATTGCGTACTTCGTCTGAAGATCGTCCAGAAATGGCACAGAAAAGGCCGAAATCAAAGGGTCGCTAGAAAAAGTGGGTCAATCCGACTGGAATCAAACACTTTGGGTTCTTCTTTAATGTGGGCGTACCCCTACAAGACCCCCTTTCGCTCGCATTTCCGCGGACAAAACTGTGCCCGGGGGATCTGGTCGTAGCGTAGTGGCAAGGTGCAGGGTCACAACCCGGAAATCCACGGGTTCAAATCTCGCACAAGTGCATTCTTTTTCGTTCTTTTTGGGTGTTCCGCAGCAAAGCGCATACAGACTCACCGTGGTTTTCACAAAGGTGAGCCCCGGCAGTCGCAAAGTCACTTGTGTCACCCATCTATTCAGAGCATTGTAGAACCGGGTGACTCCGGCGCCTTGCGGCGCAGGTCCGCAACATTCCACAGCAACTTTAAAATGTACCGATGGCCCCGGCCTGAAGTCAGGGAGATTTGCGGTTCGCCGTCGCCGGAGTCATGAGTTTCCACCGAGCACCGAGTCTCGGCTCAAGCACAGAGTGCATGCCAATCCGTCGATCTCATGACATCTACGGTACAAGCACTGACGGATCGTGACCGACGGCTGCTGGTATAGCTTTAGTGTCCGGCGTCATGGGTTATGGAACGCCCACTTTAAGCAGGCAGTGAAAGGATGGTCTTGCCCAGTAAAGTAGGGTGTGTGGGAGGGTGGGCTCCCATCCACCCTCCCAAATTATGAAAGGCTTCTACAGCCAAAATAGAATAAGGTTGAAGAGGACGTCTAGGAAGGAGGGGTTAAACGTACCATAGGCATAATTTCCGGGATACTTTAATCGTCAAAATCCGCCCGGGTTAAAAATCTCGGATCCCGGAATTTGCGGCGACGCAGGCTCTGTGTCGCGGGGGGGTCATACGAGGTCGCCAAAGTACCGTCCAACTGTAACGCACTAAAAGTTTAGCCGAACGGCAGCATATAACCAGAATTGCGGAGCGAGCAGCCATGACCTTAAAGTAATATAAGACAGTGTCCGCAATGTTCGACCGAGATTCAATGCCTGACCACACAGTGTTCGCAATGTCCGGCCGAGATTCAATGCCTGACCACACGAAAGCACGAAACGACCTTTGCAGATCAGCTCTGGCAGTGGCAGCAGATTGGCAGCGAACTGGTAACGATCAGACCAGACAGTCGACTGTAGCACGCAACCTCAGCTGACCAGATCAGATTTGCGTTCTAGTGTGCTGCAGCCTTTGTAAAGCTAGCAACCTTCAGGCGGTGCGATCTTTCTTGGCGCCTCCGGTTTCCTACTAGTGTCCAAGCTCATCAGCTTTTCAACTTTGGCAGATTCAAGCGCAGGCAGTTTCTTCAGTACAGAGGTCAAAATGTGTCAGGCAGCTGGAAGAATGTGAAACCCTAGATCCACAGGCTCTGGGGTGCCAGCCTAAAGCAAAATCAATGTAACCAAGGAGGAGGAAACATGGCAGAAGGCTTCGATGCCAAGCAAGATTTCACGATTCAAGAGTTCATGAAAGACATAACAATTCCCATTCTTTGTGGAGAAACCAGGTAAGCCTTGGGAGCTGGAAAGGTTGCGAGAGAAGCTTCCCTCAATCTCCCTAGCGCCTCAGTCTAGTGGTCTGCTTGAAACATCATTCTCCTCTCTTCCATATTCGGTTTTTCAAGGGTTACTCCACTGGCACAGTTCAAATAATCATATTCTCCTTTGCACTCTTGCTCAGCTATGACCAAGGCGTCACTTCTTTCTAGGAATCACTCATCAAAATCTTGAATCCTGGGCGCTTTAATAACGTAAGCTTTTAAGCCAACCTTGTAGCTAGGATTGTGCTCCCCACTCTTGCTAAGCTGGAAAGCTGTTACCAGGCAGCAATGCTTTCAAATAAACTTTAAAGTTTCATGCAGAGCGCTTGAGGAACGACAGCGTCTAGGCCAACCTTTAAGCTCAGAATTTGGAAATCTATGAGACCGCTTTGGGGGTTCTTTCACAGAACAGGATCCTAGCTTCATGTGGTCTCCACTGTCGTGACAAACTTACTTGGGGCTAGCTTCGGACTAACATTGGTGTGGCAGAGAATGTTGAAGTGGCAAAAGTTGCCATTCCCTCAAAGCGGTGCTGTTCAAGCATGTGCTGATCAGCCAGGCTTAGTCCTTACGGGTGCTTCACCACACAAGAATCAAAGCTAATTCTCTTAATTGTGACGCAGTACCTGTAACAACCGTCTTGCTGCTTTCAACCGGGCCACCAACGGACGCTACTCCGCATCGAAGATGCCCCGAGGAGAGCAAGCGGTCAGCCAACTCAAGGTGCCAGTGCTACGGCCTCATCCTGCCACGTTCATTCCTTTCAAAACTGCCCTCCTGAATGCCCTTCCTTGTATTCCCTCCGGCGTCATTAAGGTTCTTTGAAGATGGCGAGTCCGTTTGACAGAATCCTAGCGGCCAGTGGCTCAGCCAAAATGTGAGTGGGAGTAAAGATACCAAAGGGCTCTTCTCTAAAGCAGGGCTTTGCCGCGGGTTCCTTATAAGGCTCTGCAGACCTTCTAATCTCGGTCTTAGTCATCCACTTTTGCCTCTCGTTGGTTCTTCAGAGGTTGGGTTCTTTAAAGGTTCTTTAGAGGTTGGGTTCTTCAGAGTACGCTTCACCAGGCCAGTTTTGTTCTGGTCCTTTGTCATGGTTTCTTTGCTAAACCTCTCATTTAAGAGCACAACAAAAAATATTGCTAGAGGTTGCTATGGCAGTCGGTTGGTGATTCACATGGTCGGAGTAATTGGTAGCTCCGGATTATGACCCGTTTCGTTACGTAAGTTGACTTGATTTCCACATCTTGATATCTACCGCGCTTCTGTCTCCAAAAGTTCCTATACCTATGGTACATGAGGTCTCATATACCTCATATACTATATGAGACCTCATATACGTCTCATATAGTTCACGTATATGCGGTTCAACAACGTACCTCTTCTATCGAGGGTTCTTCAATCGATTACCTACCAACTCCATCTGACCTTGCTGTTTATAGGCGGCGTACCCTAATCTCGTGCAACTTCAGAAGAAGGTCACCATTCCGGAGCTGTGCAGCGCAACCTTACAGAAGCGCTTAT